GTATAGGGCTCAGGTAGGGTAGCCTTTCAGCAATAGTGTATTCAGGTTTCCTCCACAGAAGGAGCTTCCTTTATTCTGGGAATACTATTCAGATATAGCATCTCCACAGGTATCCCGCTGCACAGAGACCCCTTAATAATGCCACTATAGAGTCACTTTGAGCTTCTCTGAAAGGCCTTTTTGCTGTTTCAGTCTTACTAACTCACCCACTATTTACCTGACAAAAGGAGCTTCCAGAAGTCAGTTTCAGTAAACCAGCCCTTTAGTTGGGGGCGGGGAGGAATATAATCAGTGTTCCTTAAGGACTTCAAAGATTCTTTGTAGAGGTAGGCCACCATTGTAAATGAATAAATACCAGTATATTGATGCACTGTTCACCCAGCACAGGCTGAAAGGTGGAACATTAATTAACTGTAGGGCGCACACCCCCCCATGTAATGTTAAGGGGTTGTTGCAAGAGGGTAATCTTGTTAATCCCACTCCTTGAATGGAGTTGTATGTTAAAACTAATTTCCAATATACATTTCTTCCCTAAAGTTGACCTGTAAATTCATAGACTGAGAGCCAGACAAATGCAAGTTTGCTTCTGCTCACACATGGGGTCTTTTCAGCTTCCCACCCTTCTGACAGCAGTTCGATTTGGGACTTGCAGAACCTTAGCTGCCCTGCTTCATCTTGCAGGATTAACAGTGTGATAATACGAGTTTTCTGCAATTTTCCTTACGTAGGGTTTCATTATCATATTTCCCCAAAGCACAACTTCTGTTCTAGTATCCTAAAGCCCAAGTCCAACTTGTTTCATTCTCTGGATGTCATTCTTTCTCTCTCTCTCTCTCTCTCTCTCTCTCTCTCTCTCACACACACACACACACACACACACTCTCCACAGCATAAAGCTGTTCATCTACACGGCCTAGTTAATGTGTTTAATAGTAATAATGACATGTGCCATGTTGATTTCTCTCAATTTCCCCCCAAACACTTGTTCACACAAGGGACTTTCCACCAGCTCTGTGACAGCTTTGGTTTTCTTCTTTGAAGAGCTGGCCGGTGTGCTATTTCTCACTAGTTTGGGGACTCACCTCATTTCCTTCAGCAGGTACCTCTTGCATTCCAACATGCTTTTGAAACTCAAATCTAAATGCCTCTTTGAGCTTCCAGAACTAGCTATGCAGGTTACTTAGACTGTTGTCTTGGGCTGATTGTTCCCTCAGCCCCTGGTGATACAGATGGAGCAATTGATGGGCTGACTTCTGAAGGTCTAGACTGTAGCCCATTGTACAAATATAAGAGGTTTACAGCCAGACAGACACAAGTAAGAAGTGTTATCATAATTTAAGGGTCCATTCCAGCTAAGCAAAGCCCCAGAAGAGGCTGGTGAGAGGCTAGAGCCAGGCTGCCACAAGTCACATTGGGGTGGGGGCATGAAACTAGTCCTGTACAGGCACCATGTTCTCTATGTCATTTTATTGAAAGAGGAAACATCCTTTTTTTGAATTGAATGTAATGTATGTGTTTAGGAAAGGGATGCTGTTATCGAACTACTGACATTAGAACAATGTCACATTCCATTTAGGTTTTTCTTTTCAGCATCTCCATGAGCCAGTCCACCCTTCTGCTTTGTACTTCAAAGGATTTTACAGGAAGAAAGAGATGATACCTAATAGCCAAAAAACATTTCAGTCGCCCTCTGTGGCACTCAAATGAATTAACAGCAAAGAAGCCACAGTCGTATTTTGTGTTCCGATATGTTTGACATCAATAAAAGGGTGACAGGACGAAGGGATGGCAGCAGCGGATTATTCATATAAGGCTGGTCCCTCAGCTGCTGAAATGTGCACTCTGCGGCTCTCTTTCAACACTGGAATCATTTTTTTGTCTCATACTTCAATGTGGGTAAAAGCAATGTGAAAAAAGAAGAGTTTGAAGGTGATAATTTATATTAGCTTTGATTCCCCCCTCCCACCCAAACAAATACTGCTCTTACAAAACATACTTTGAAAACTTGACAGATTTTGCAGTAAAAAAAAGTACTTTCTCTTACCATACCTGGATAGCAGCGATTTGGCGATGAATGAAATTGACTGCAAGGTATTTCCCCCCCTCCCCCATTACCCTTCTACTACCCCCACAGCCTGTTGTTCTATGGAATGCTTGCATGTCTCCTTTTAACTAAGAAATCACACTCTTCCTAGATATCCACCAGGCATGGTGAGCGTTACACCAGGCGGGATTCCGGCAGCTATGGAAGGTATTATCCCCGGAGGGATCCCTGTTACCCACAATCTTCCGACAGTGGCGCATCCTTCCCAAGCTCCATCTCCTAATCAGCCGTCCAAACATGGGGACAACAGGGAACATCCCAATGAGCAATAGCAGATAATTCAAAGCACTCCGATTTGGGACCAAGAGACATTGGGGGGGGGGGGATGACACATGAACTGACGGGAATTTGATACAAAATTTGTAAGGTTGATTTTGGACTGACGCATCATGTTGTTCCAGTGTTAACTACAAAAAAATGGAGTCAAGACTTGGGGAGGGAGGGGGAATGCAGACGAAGTCACCTGCTTACTGAAGCACTGAAAACTAGGATGCGATGATACATTACTGATCAGCTTCTGTTATTGTATGTTTAAGTTTCCTTCATCTTTACATCAATCACAAGAATATATATTTCTTCTCAGTCCCTTTTGGGGAATAGCAGGTGACCTGCTGCTTAGAGCAGGTCCAACAGTCCTAACAAAGCTTACATGATAGTAAGAGGAAACCATCATGTGACTTCAGCCCTTTCCTTCCTCACTTACCTGGCTCCTCATTGTATAGCCTGAGGAAATATAACCCAGAGATGGGGGAACTGTTTGCTTGTTGCAGTTATATATGGCCACTAATGTATTGGAGGGATGCTACTCAAGTTTAACTACCGTCATGTAGGACAGCAATCTTGGTGGGAAGAGGGGGTAAAAGGCCCATGTTAACTAGCTGCCTCTTACCCACAGAAATGGATGCTTATTCTACAAGATACACTTAATAAAGTAGCTGTACACTCAATAACACGTGCTGATGATGCAAAAAAAAGAAAAAGTGTTACGTTTCACATTTATACTCAAATATATTTTTCTCAGTTTTAAATCCACAGCTATTTTATTGAGTGGAAACGTCTTGGGCTGGAAGGGGTTCAAGACTAATGTTGCATTTCCTTATGTCTCAGGAAAAAGAAACACTTTTTATGGTAACTTGTCAGACTGTATGAACAAACCCACTTTTTTAGACATTGAAGTCTTCTTTTCTTCATGTGATATTTTATACAAGAACACTTCAAAATGTGTTATTAGATGTGACTGATTTTAACAAATCCTATTAGATTTGTATCAACTAGTTACATGTTATATTCATAGTCTTTTGTGAATCATCGCCTTTTTGTTGAAAAAGATGGCCTATTTTGAGCCTTTGTATGGGTACATTCCTGTTTCTGTGATAAGTTTTAAAAGCTGTCCCAAACAAAACAAAAAAACCAGAACCAATGGCTACCAGAAGTATGTTTTGTTTTAGTGTGTTACCGTTACTGTATTTGTTTATTGTAAAGGTGGACATATAGCGTTCAGTGCAGTTTTCAATAAAAAGTGACAATTTCTATAATTTCACATGGACCAGGCCCTTCATGTCCTTTACCCTGTACGAAATACTAACACATTTTCAGGTCCAACAAGAGCAAGCTATGCCAAAACCACCCTTCTCCAATGAAAGAAGGTGATTGATACATCTCTGCAGTCAAGATTCCAAAACGCAATAAACTCTTCTTTTCAGAGCTGTGAGAAGCTCATGAGTGGTCTGAAGTAATCTAACTCTGCTCTTTAAAATAAATAAATTAACATACATCTACCCCCCCCACCAAAATCCTGTGTACTTAAAAAAGTTCCAAGCAAACCAACAAGACTCCTCTAGAATATCTGCATCTCAGAGTTCCAGCAAAAATCCTCTCTGAATATAAGAGGAGACCACAGTGTGTTGGTTAATGGCTTGTTCAGACATTAGCTGGCACCTAAGACTTTACCCAAAACAAGATGGGGATGAACTTTCCACTATTCTGTGCTCACTCTCCTACCCTCATCACTGCAGAAACTAATGGGTACATTGAGATAGTCTCCAGATCTTGTAACAGATTTGAGGAAATTACAAGAGGTGCCCTGAGAGAGGTGAGGGAGAAGAAGTACCAATGCACAGCCCAAGTCCTTGTGCTAACAGAACTGCTTTGTTGGACACAACCCCGTTTCCTAGACCAGAAGCAGGAGAGATGCAAGACTGCATAACTCCTAAGAGCCTGCTGCCTGCTTATTCTCTCATTTCAAACAGAACATGGGAGGGAGAGGGGAGATTTGACCAAGGACTACTCTTCTCATCCGTATGAGGCTGTACCCTGCAAAGCGGCCCACAAACCCACACCAGACTGGTTAACTACAAACTACTATTGTTTGTTGTACCAACTGTGGCATTGGAAGCCTCTAATTCAAAATAGCTTTAGCCACTAACTCACTATAGGACCTATGTCAAGTCATTCTTCTCTCAACCCAAATTTACAGGATTCCTTTAAACAGTAAAGCACTAAATGTGCATCAAAAACACCATTAAGAACTATAATATTTTTTAAAAAAACTGCAATCCTCAGAACACATTGCTAAGCTATGTGGAATAGAAGTTGAGAGCCATGGGAAGTGGAGAGAGAAGAGCAAAGCTGCCACCAACACTGACCACGCAATGAGTCCATGCAACCGTTGGGACAGCGGCAGTAAAAGACAAGATGACTGGGATAGGAAGAACTAGGTCCAACCGCAAATGTAATACAGATGTGATTTCATGGCAAATGCAGGCTGTATGACCTTCCCAACCTAACAGCAGTGTCCTTTTGAAATGAATAAATAAGGACTAGAATGGAATTTGAGGGTAGGGGGAAGAGAAAGAAGACACAGAATAATACATTAACAGACAAACTGAAAGCAAACCATTGTTACAAAACTTATATTTGTTTTGTTTTAAATTAATGGAAAAGCACATTACCAGCTTTGAACATATTCAAGGGAGTCAACTTCATAGCTGTGTCAATGATCTAACACTGCAATTATGAATAACTTACCATAGACACCAGTATAGAGCAATCAGGAGGAGGAACATTGGTGAGTTACAGAGAACATTTAGGAAGCCACACAAATGAAGGTGAAACAACATTTACACTGGCATTAGTGATTTTAAGAAGCTGCTATTGTTGGAACTTTGTTCTTAGACCAGGCAGTGGCATTCCAGATAGGCATAATTAATGTTGATGAAAATGTATACTTTCTAATAGGACACTCACATTTGAGGCAGACTCTGCTACTGCCAGTGAATCTGCTAGGAACCCCTGGTGCAAAATTTGGCTGCTTGGATGCAATTATCTTCGTATTACTTCCAGGTACTAACTTGAAGAAAAGAAAAGAAAACCCTCCACTTAAAACTAGAGAAAAATGTAGTTTTAGAGGAGGCTGTAAGTCAAACTTCCATATAACAGTTGTGGGTCTGGAAGTCACGATGTCATTGAAGAGTTCTTAAAATGTTAGCGTGATTCAGGAAGCATAGATTTATGCAGTAGAACAAAGCTTCAAACAAGATATTAAAAGTAATTAAGATACAAAATGGTTTGAGATGGCAAGAAGGGGTTTTTGTTTTACCACATGAAGTGATTTTTTTTTTCCTAAGGAGAGGGGGCAGCAAATTTTGCAGCCCAAAAAGAACACAACCAAACAATTCAAATGGATGAAAAACCACTACTTAATGCAGGAAATATATAATAATTTTTATAATATATCTCCACTACAGACTCAAGATGGAACTTGCCCTTCAGCTTCAGAATTGGTGGTTTAATTAAAAAAAATACTACCTCAACTGTAACTTAGATCACAATAAGTAGCAAAGCCTGGACTTTCAAAAAAAAGGTGTATCAGGTTAGAGACCCATGCATTACTGCAGTGTTTGAGGCTCGCCACAACTTGCTATTCTCCAGCCCTGTAACAGCTACTGGAATTACAATCTATAAAACCACTAACCACCACTGATTATCATAGGGCTGTACTGAGACTACAAGAAGTGGTTTCAGTGTTTCTGTCTGTATATGTAGCTAGGAGCCAGTAAAAATGCACATTATTGTGTTTTTTATTCCAGACAGCAGCAAACACTTTCATCCAAAAAGACTCCAAAAATTTCAGGCTTTGCTACTGCAGTGGAATAAAGATGGCTGGAGATTCAGCCATTTCCCCCCTACTAGGATAGTAATGCTTACATTTAAGACATATGTATCGAACTAGAATCAGCTATAGATGGCAGCACAGTGACTCAGATCTTTAAAAAAAAAAATTCAGGTAACTGACTCCGCCCACAAAAGCACAGCTTATTGCATTGGTCCAGGACTATGGGGATTCCACCACTAAGTATGTAATGTAGGCAGAAAAAGCATTTAGAAAACCTAAAATTAGAATTGCACATAAAAGCAGGACCTATTTTTTTAAAAAGAAATCCAATTATTCTCCAGCTTAGGAAATTTGACTCATCAAAGGTAAGCATGTACCTTTGCCCAATAATCTCTGCATGCACCAAAAGAGAGAACTAACGACCAAAACACATACAAACACATCCATCCTTTTACATTTCAGAGATCAAAAAGCTGAATCAATGTACTTCTTCAATGTAGTACCTTGAAGAAATTTCAGGGTAGGTTTGTCAACAGGATTACTTTTGTAAAGTATATTTCAACACCATCTAATCCACGTTTAGAAAAAGCAGCAAATTCTGAAGGGTTCCTATATATATTTTTACACATATGTAAATGTACGGCTCCTGTCCAGATTCTTAAACAAGGAAATCTATTTTGCAAGAGGTTCCTTGTCCTCATTTCCACCATCATTAGTCTTCAAAAAGTGCTTATCAGGATCTGCTTTATGCATACAAAACTATTCAACCTTTAGTGTTTTTTTAAAGTGAGGTTTTTGGATAGGCTATATCCATTCAAGATAGCATGGCTAAAGTTATCAAGTATAATAAAAAAAGAATTTTCTACTGGAGAATATATTCTGAACTTATACTTTCAGGAAACTTACATATTCAAATGTGGCCACAATCAATCAACATGCAAAAAAATTCCAAAGTTTACATACCAAGGAAAGATAATATACAGTACTTTAAAACAAAGCTTTAGAATGAAGGCTTTTAAGGAAAACTGCCAAAGTGCTTTCTCACTCGATTTTAATGACCAAGGAGTGCTCCTTAATGGAGGTGATTTTAACTTGCAGGGGAAAGGCTTGATAAAATAGTAATTTCTATTGTACAACTCACAGCAAGATCAGGTTTGGACAAAATGCAGTTTTTTCAGTTCAGTTTAGATGTAGCAGATTCCACACGGTAGTTAGCATATAGCTCTCTGGAACAGTACTTCTCTGACTACTTTAAGTATGCTGGAAGGGGGGAAAATATTCCAAATAAAAGATACAAAATATTAACGGACAGCAGAGAATCCTTTACAAAAAAACAACAACCAAAGTTCACTCAATCAAAATGTATCATCCCTTCCATAGGTTGGTGTGTGTGTTTTTTCCCTTTAACATTTCATCTTCTTATAATGGGCACAAAGGTAACTCAAATCTGAATAAAAACAATGAACTGCTCATACTTTTGACTCAGGTATATGGCTTCAACAGCAAAAAGAAAAGCCACATCATCTGACCTGGGCATTAGCAAGATTGCATATAAAATGGGTCTGTTAGAATACTTAGGAAGTGATGCAGAAGAACCAAGTTTTACTGTAAGTCTCAAAAAGAACAAATATTAATCTACGGTGTGCTTTTAAGTGCCCTTATTCAAAAGAATTTTTTTTCAATTATTTTAAGATGCTGGTAATACTTTTTCCAATTACACAACTTTCTTACACAACTACATGCGGTACATTTATAGGCAGATGTACAACTGGAAAGAAAAATGCTTTCTGTCTTGGTAATAAAATTAGGGCTTTGCTTTTTTACAAACTGTAGTCCAACCAACGTAGCTGTCTTCACATATATGTTGAGCCTCTGAATTCTCCCCATGCCGATTAAAAATCTTAGGCAGGCTGCTTCCTGCTACAATTAGGTCATTGTGTAACAAATTGCTAGAGCACGCCCCAAGTGCTGGGGGACCTCACCACACATTATTCTCAGCCAGGTATCTCAATTTTATCATTCATCATCATCGTCTTCATCTTCTTCTCCATCTGAAAGGGATGTACAGGGGCGAATTTGTCTATAGCGATCAAGCCATTTCTCTACCATCTGTGTTACCAGGGGATGGTTGCGCCGGCGAGAACTTTTCTGCATAGCAACTAGGACTCCACCCTCCGTCACGCAACAGTCCAGCCACTCCCTGAGCAGCTTCTCCTGTTGTTCCTCATTACCAATCTTCAGAAAAAGAACACAACACTTAGGACATGATTAAAATCAGATTAGTGACCACAACTTTTTTTTTAAAAAGGGGTGCCCTGCAACATTTAAAGTGCTCCAGGAAGACTGTCTTAGGAAAGTGGATTTTTTAAAGGGACTATCTAAAGCAGTGCATAAATATCCTACTTTTTTCCTTCCTATAAATTAAATTTTATGTAACTGCCAGCTCTGTGTTTTACAAACACAAGGTATTGGAACTTTTAAGAATGCACACCCCACCATTAGGCAGGCAGAGAATAAGAATAAATAAAAGTCCTATGCTTTCAGCTACTCTCACCTTTGCAGTCTTCTTTTAATAAGCATACAAATGAAATGGTTAAATATTATTAAGGGGTCTTGTAGCCCTTTTTAGGCTTTCAAATTTTCACTTTCTATTTACAAAGAAAAAGACGGAGACAGAGACAAAGAGACAAGTGGAGGGAGAAACTTATAGAGATCTATAACACACCAGCAGAACATTCGACCATACAGTTTTGCCTGTTATTTCTGGTTGGGAAGCCTTAGCTTTCCTCAAAAGCTTTACTGATACATCTGTTTAAAAACAACAACAACAACAACAACAACACACACACACACACACGAACATCAACCACTCTCACAAACCAATTTCAGAACAGAAAGGCAACACCAAGTTGGCACACAAGGCTTCTCATGCCTGTTCCTCAAACTACTGCAATCTGTTGTCAAATGTCTTTGCAACTGCTACATATCAGCTATAGGCTCTCTGTCACGTAGATTCTCCAGAGAGGCTTTTTCCCCCCTTTTCCTTTTCTGCTGATGCAGCGTCTCACTGAACACTGAACTGCTTAGTGTTTCTTACCTCTTGAGCAGACAGGAAGTGAATGTGCAGCAGCTTCCTTTCACTGTCGACCAATGGTAAAAAAGTAATAGTAACATCATCATCAGTGTTCAAGTTAGCACCAGCACCTCGGTTGCCATAGCCATCATTCTCCATGGCAACCAAAGCAGAGAAATGGCCCCTTGTGTAGCCCAGAGCAATAGGGCTTTTCCAACAAAAACTCTGTTCCCATAACAAAGGCAAATATACACCTACAAAGAAGGAGGAGTGATGAAAGGGGTTAAATCAATGGAACACCGCACATTAATTATGTTGATGGGGGGGGGGAATAATCTGAAAGCATGACATAAACCACATTTACAATGTACATCTCAATATGTCTTTTAATACATCGTGATACTGGTTTCAAATTTAGGAAGCTGACTCATTTTAATTAGTGGTTATAAAATATATTTTACTGTGGATGACAGAGTAAAATATAAGACACAATACTCTCTTCCTAAAATTGGCAATTAAAAGACTGCCAGCATCTTCAGCTGCAGTAACAACTCCCAAGAGGCAATCTAATATTCTATGCAACCTTTTTTTCAATGATAAATCCATGAGCATGAACTTAAAATACAAACTGTCCTGTGTAACTGAAGAAGTGGAAGCCATATTTGACTTGGTGTCCATTAATCTAGTCCCCACAGCCTCTCATTACATATAACTGAATCTCCCCCTGCCCGTCTTCTAGCACATCAGAAGTTATTCATAGATGCTTCATCAAAACAACTAAACTAGGAACGTGACCTGCCTTGAGAGGGTTTAAAAATAGCAGTGAGTAATCCAAGTACATATGTAGCATAGCAACCTTTCATAGAAAAAAACTCTGCCCAGTGCATTTGCACATGAGATTGCCCTCAGCATGTCTCCTGACAGACCAGTGGCTCTCCTGCACTCACTTAACATAATTCCTGTTTTGTGTACTCTTAAGAAAAATAGGTGGCAATGCATTTAAATTGTATGGCAGTTAAGTATTATGGTATCATGCACTCAACCTATCTGTAGCCAAAGTTATACTCACTTACATGGACTGACTTCATATTGCAACTGCTTGTACTGGGGAAGGAGCATTTACACACACACAATTTGGATCCACAATAGACCTTTGTTATCAGGCTCTTGCCTGACTAGCCCCAAGGATCCAAGTGTGAACACACTGCTGCAGTGGAGCGCACACACGTAGCAGGCAGAGCACTGTAGCAAAATACCATGTTATACCATGCCTTCCCTGTCTGCCTCTCTCCCGTTACAGAAAGCACCCAAAAATGGAAGAAGCTACAGCATCATCAGAGAGAAAAGGATCAAGTAATGACTCTAGCCTCCATAACTGATCTCTGAAGGCTGTTGGGACTTTCAGTGCTTTGTCACTTTAAGGCAAGAAGGCAAAGAGAACCCCTTGAAAACAGCGACATTAGCAGAGTACTCTTAGGAAGGTCGGTAGAGCACTGCTGAATGTACTCTCTGTCAAATCTAAAATAGAAAAATGTGAACACTCAGGATGTAAGCAATCCTTTCTATAACAAACATTATTGTAAGTCACACTTACCTTGAAAACGGGTATATCCTAAAGTTTCTCCTCGGAAACTCTTATAATATTTTACTCCATAAACTATAATTGGTCTTCTAAGAATATGTGCAAGTACAAAAATGTGTGTCTGTTCCAAACTTGCTCCAGGCTGTATCAAAGAGAATAACACTTGAAATAAAAATGATATCTATCACATGAGACAGACCAATTGACTGAGCCTTTGATTTCAGCAAAATGTTCATGTAACTGAAGTCATGAACATTGTTCAGATGTTAATTACATATCAATTATTTTTGGAATTGTTTGCATTTTGAAAGCTATAATTATCCAGTAAGTATATGCAAGTATCATTGGGTTGGTGCTTAAATTATTATGGGGGAGGGGCCAAAATAAATCCACAAGATTCAGCTACCAATTCTGTCTACGTTTAGTCAGATTTTCCCTGTAGCCTTCTGGGAACAATAGCTAAGAGCGGGGGTAGGCAATCTAAGGCCTATGGGCCACAAGCGGCCCACAAGGGTCATTTAACCGGCCCACGAGCCGCCCCTGAACAGAGCTGCCCACGTGCTGCGCTAAACCGGTATAGTGTGGTGACTCGCTTCCGCAGTGCTGAAAATCGCATCTGCGCATGCTCAGACGCCGAAAATGGCATCTGCGCAAGCGGCGGAAATCGCGGCCCCGCACGCTCACAATCCAGCCCACAGAGGGATCTCCGTTGGAGTGAATCAGCCCAGGCGAGGTAAACCTTGCCGACCCCTGGCTAAGAGGGTAAAAGTAACAAACAAGGACATGTTTCTTCAGGCACCCTTATATTTTTAGCCTTGCCCAAAAGCATCACTTTACCTGAAATTTCTGTGTACTAATAACTATACAAGACAGTATTTTCAATAGAGAAGAAATTTTAACATTATAGTAAAATGTGACCAATGCATTATGAAATCTCATATGCCTCTTCAGTACCACAGTGGCAATTACAATGAAGCAGAATAAGGGATTCTATTCTGGAGGTCCTACTCATTTGCCTTTTACTTCATGTCACATTTGTTTTATTTTGTGACGTAAAAGTACTCAGAATGAAAAATGCTAAATGATAATTTGTGCATAAGACAAATGCATGCATGATGAAATTATCTACCGGTCTTGACTTCTATATATAATACCTCCAGGACAGAGGCACTGTGCCTCTGAATTTCAGTCACTGGGAAACAACAGCAGGAGAGAGGTAAAGGTAAAGGTAAAGGTACCCCTGCCCGTACGGGCCAGTCTTGACAGACTCTAGGGTTGTGCGCCCATCTCACTCAAGAGGCCGGGGGCCAGCGCTGTCCGGAGACACTTCTGGGTCACGTGGCCAGCGTGACATCGCTGCTCTGGCGAGCCAGAGCCGCACACGGAAACGCCGTTTACCTTCCCGCTAGTAAGCGGTCCTTATTTATCTACTTGCACCCGGGGGTGCTTTCGAACTGCTAGGTTGGCAGGCGCTGGGACCGAGCAACGGGAGCGCACCCCGCCACGGGGATTCGAACTGCCAACCTTTCGATCGGCAAGCCCTAGGCGCTGAGGCTTTTACCCACAGCGCCACCCGCAGGAGAGAGATACTTGCCCTCAAGTCCTGCCTTTAGGCTCTCCATAGGCATTTGATTGGCCGCTGTGGAAAATAAGATGCTAGAGCAAGATTGGCCTTAAGTAGAGTCCTACTAGATAAGACCAAAGGCCAACCCAGTCCAACATCATATTCTTACAGCAGACAAAAACTTTGGCAAAATATACCCAAGCAGGATTGAAAACAATCCGAAATGGTCCTGCCACATCCAAGCCATCAGTAACTTTTAAACTGAGAATATGTCGGTCAAGAACAGAAACACATAAATACTAACCGTAAGATTCAAACAAATAGGAACAAAATAGATAGAAAAGCCACAGCTGTGAACATAAAATACAAGTAACTTTTAACTGTGCTTCCCCATGCTTTTTAAAAACAAACAAACAAACAACAACACACACACACACACACACACACACACACACATCTTACCTGACTAGCAAGTGAAAGTATAAATGCCCAGTCTTCCTGCCACTGTTCTTCTCGCAGTGAGAAGTGTAAACCAAAGCTTTGGGAGTACCATGACTCCCATTCTTTCCATCGGGTATAGAACCTACAAAAATAGCATAAAAGGACTCAAGATGCATTTTCATAATTCAAGATCGTACCAAACTATGCAAGCTTTCGCTGAAAGTGGATTTCTTCAGATTCACACACAACACACAATACTTTTCTTGCTACTTCAGCCAGGTATTTTACGGGAGGAGAGAAGTTGAATAAAAAATTGGACAATAAATGCCAAATTCTGAGAAATATATATAAAGTATTTGGTTGAAACATAGCTCATTTAGCATCTCTTGACTGAATTCTGAATTAGTACAAGGTTTTTTCCCCCTGTTCACATTGGATAACCCAGTGTGAGCAACTGCTGGAACCTGGGAGTTAGCATCCCCTGAGTGGGAAGCAATGGACATGGTATGTCTGCAATGCCCCAGGTAAGAGATGGGGTGGAATGCCTGTGAAAGGAGTTCAACTGGAGATTAATTGTTGTGATGTGCCTTTTTTAGTGTGTAGTGGCTGTAATAGGCCTATAACTGGGTTCTTTGTCTGGCTGAGCATCTGTGACCATCTTCAAGAGAGTGGATTGTAGGCAGAATGTACCAGGAGTGGGTAGGTGGGAGAAATCTTGAAGAGTGCAGCAGAACTACCTATCTCAGTGTTCAATGGGAGAAGGTATGGCTGGAGGAGGAGGACAGTAATCACACATGAAAGAAGAGATATTGTTGATCCAAGACCTTGCCTAGGTAAGTAGAACTCATAGCAGTGGTAGGTGATGCCTTTACAAACTGGGGTAATGCATAGCCACTGACTCCGAAGCAATTCTGACACCAACTTCCATCAGTGCTACCTACTCCATCCATATAAGTTTCTATTAATCATTATAACTTACTGTAATTTCCATGGTCAGAATAGGTATAGCTATGCATGAGAGTTGCTAAAGGAAAAAGCAACACACTGTTGCCCTCATAAGAGTGATCTGGCTGATCATGGCTGGAATCAGTGCCGCACCAGATTGAGAACCAAGGCCACAAACAAAGATAAAAGTGAGGTCTGAGTCTCAGCTACTAAACACCCAAAACTATTACCTCCCCAAATCATTTCCCAGTTCCAGATGCCCTGTTAACTGATTAAACCAGTCCCAATTAATTTTCCTCTCCTATTGATTTTAGGATGTTCACACTTCAAGAGAAGTAGTTTGGCATACTGTACAAAGAATCACCTCCAATCCATAGTGAAGTTGTAGTCTGCAGCTCTATGGTAATCAATATACCAGATTCAAAGTTCACATAATGAAAATATTTTGCACAGCAATTCTAGTTAAGCGAGTGATATGGTTTGGAGCTATGTCAACAGAGGTTTGTGACATTTTCCAGAGCCCAGATATTTACGAGGACAGCAACAAGCAGCGAAAATGACATGATTACTTCAGTAACAACTTTATATAAATTGCATTGGACAAAAGCCATTTTGAACTGATTGATCAATTATACTATTTTAATGGTACAACACAGACTTTTCTCCATAGATGCCAGAAAGGCAATTTTGTATAAGATTCCAAGCCACTGAAGCAGAAATCCTCCAAATTCCTTCCTCCATCCTATGACAACAAAGAAGCTTGCATTTTTCAAGATAAGACATCTGAATAAGCTGTGGTCATTTTCGTTCTTGATTTCTACTTACCAATGAGAACAATCATGTAAACTGTCATGAAGCGCTTTACGTAGCACCGAGTCCTTATCATAAATGCCCCATGTAGCTTGTAGTACTGAATCAAGCAGGCAGTCCCCTGCAGTCCGATTCCAAAGTGCATAAAGTCTACTGTCCAAACGCGTACCCAATTCCAGTGACCAGTTTATAATGGGAGATTCTTCTTCAAGTTCTAGAGGATAACAAGCAACACAATGTTAATCATCCTAAACCCTACAAAAAATACCTGTTGCATTTCAAGATACTAGTGTACATGCTTCTGAAATTCTAGAATGATTAGCAGAATACAGCAATGAAGTTCCTTTCATAATCGTGAATGCAGTTATGGTGGCGTGCATGCAAATTGATACTCAGTAATAACTGAGTATCATAGTACAGACTTTCATATTTCTATTAATACTCCATAAAACCTAACAACTGACACTTCCGTTTTCTCAGGGCAGGCTATCAAAAACAATCAGGTATCTATGAATAACTTGCACACCACTGTACATCTCAACAGAAATCTGTAAGTGGTTTACATATCTTAACATGAATGTATCATTTTTGTATTCCATTCATAATTCTGCTGCTAATAATATTAATAATGATAAATTCCACTTTAAGTAACATAATTAAGCAACAATAAGTATCTCACCATGTATATAAGTAAAATAAAATAGCAAATATTATGCATAACATCAAGATACAATATCCAATGCAACATAATATAAAACCTTGCATAATAGAGATACCATATTTACCTTTTTGAACATCTCTATCAAGTACTTCATCAAATAATTTCTCTTGGACTGTTGGTGGCAAGTCTTCAATATCTGCAAAACCAAGAATGAGCATGACAAATGAGTGAACTCTAGAATCCACATATTCCATATAAACAGCTATTCACATGACAATCACATCAAGTGAAACGGCCCTTTAGTCCCAAGAAAGAGGTAGGACAAACCAGCTCAAGTACACTATGTGAAATACTTTATAGCTTCTCTGTATGAAATTATGGCTCCAATCTCAACTAAACCAAACTATGTTCCCCACACTCAAAAACAAGTCAAAAAAGGTTTCATTTCGAAGCCCACTTAGAACATTGGGCCCCACTGTGTCCCCAAAGCCAGGAGATCAATGAGGTCCAGCACTTCCACCATGCCACACTTCCACCATGCTAAAGAAACTTACCTGGGAGTTACAGTGGGGAGGTGGCTTGCAGGACAGAGTTTCTTCATTGAGTCTCCAATGGGTCCTAGTAAACTGCTCCAGCAGCAGCCCAGATGCCAGAAACCTTGACAAAAGTATTTCCCAGAGCTCCTCACACCCCTATCAAAATGCATCAGGCATGCATTTTGCAGGAATGCCACGTCTGGATGACACCAGAGCAGAGTAGGGCTGAATGGAGGGCACACAACAGAACTTATACATTGCTGCTGTCACCTGGCAAGTTTTGATGATAAAGTTTTTATGTTGCTAACTGCAACGTTCCTCACTGGTGTAGGATATGTTAAAATTGGAACTTAAAATGCCTAAATGTTCTTAAGGTTACAATCCTGCATAATCATCTACTTGGCAATCATATTGCTTTCCCCATCCAGAATAAAACATGTATTGGGTATACAAGTGAGGCAGCCAATGTGTGTAACTGAGTGCAGGGAGAGCTGTAGCTCAGTGGTAGAGCATCTGCAGATAGTCCCAGGAGAGGCTGGAGAGCCTCTGCCAGACAGTGTAAACGAAGGTTACCAGATTTTTTTCAATGAATCCGGGGACACGTTAAATAAATAAATAATTAAATAAATACTACACATTCGGGACATTGATGCTACAGCGATGGTAGTGGCAGAGGGGCGGCCGCTGCCTTGACCTCAACCGCCACATTTTCCCTTCCTCCGATGCTTCTATTTCCTTTCGCTATGAACCTGGGCAGCCCCCGAGTTGTTGGTTCTTCAGTGGTGGTGGTGGGGAAGCGGTGCACAGTGGGTCAGGAATGGAAGGCGAAGAAGGGGGGCTGAGAGCATCGGAGCATCCCCAATCCCATTCCTACTTGCATGCAAGCAGGAGGGGGCGGGGATCCCTCAGCTGGGAAGGGAGAGATCCCCACCCCACTCCTGCTTCCATGCAAGTAGGAGTTGGGAGGCTACTCTGATAGGCAGCATGAAGCCTCCCTTCACAGCTTAGTTGCTGGGGTCAGGGAAGGTGGAGGCAGAACGGAAGCTGCATCTTAGAGCCCCTGCACCACCATCATATGGGGACTTCGAGCAGCTCCTGAAGCCAGCCAGAGCCAACTGCTCCGGGCTGCTGAGACTGCCGCTGCTGCGTTTCCTGGGGACATTAGATGAAATCCGGGGACATTCCAGGGATGGAATTTGTCCGGGGACTTATTCACAAATCCGGGGACCGTCCCCGGAAAACTGGGACATCTGGTAACCCTAGTGTAAACAACATTGAGCTAGGTGGACCAGTAGTCTGACTTGTCTAAGGCAGCTTCGTATGTCTGATTAGGGTGCCTTCAATGGAAGAAACATTCAAGCTCATACGTCTCCCACACAGGTATGCATCTCTGTGTAGGAAATTGAATATAGGAAATGCAATATATTTATCAGTTCTGTGTTGCACTGGCATTTTCAAACAAAACAAAATTAGGAAAGAAGACTGAAGTTTCTCAATTGTTAGAGCTCTACGTTATATCTTCAAGTATCCATGTTTCCTTCCCTATCTCATCCCACTTACCAAAAGAGATACACTAAATGTAATTATTTTCACTTACTAGAGCATTCAGACTGTTTCGCATTACATGATCTAGTGAATCAGAACAAATTAAGTACAACACGTACAGTTGGAGAAAAGGAATGTTTCTGTTTTTAGAAAAGCTATGGCCGTTTTCCTCTTTAAAATACTATCTTTAGCATCAAGCAATTCTCTGCAGTAACAGAAACACAGGGATTCTGTGTTTATGAGGTCACTACTCACGTACAATTGCTACAAAAATAGTTTCAAAGCAGAAATGGTCCCTACATACTGGAGAGTTTCCTCAAGTTATACAAGTGAGTGCTTTTCCTTTTCTTTTTTAAAGTCCAAGCTCTGCAAAAATATTCAGAAACTGGTGGGAGAAAGGAACCATACTTCACTGAAATGTTGGCACCATTGGAAATATACAGATGCCAACTCTCAGCTATCTGGTCACCTCAGTTAGGAGTTCAGGCTGAAGGGAAACAAACAGTAATTAGCTATCCTTTGAGTCTGGGACCCAGGGTACGGGGAGGCCTCAGGGCTTTTGAGGCATACATTCTCTGAGCCCAATTTCTTCTCTCTCTTTTTTCCGGTCTGTCTGTAATGGAGCCAAATGGGACATAGAGAACTGTACCCATCACATGCTGATGCTATTGTGAGGGCTTTTCAGAAACTCACATACTCCCAACTTTTGCCACAATGGCTCCTGTCATACGGACTGAACTATCGTCACATTCATTTCTATGTTGGAGCTGCACTACTTCACGCTGAGCAAAGGGGCTTCAACACCTGCTCCAAAAGACCCTTATGGAGAAGTAGGTTTCCCAGAGCAGATCTCCCTAGTAAGCTAAGGGACACAGACATAAATATTTTGTCTCTGGCTCCAGTCATCATTAGCTGCAGCTTTGCCCACTGCTGGTATGCATCCCTCAACAGACAAAAGGTTGCCCACCCTTGCACTATACCAATTGTGCAATCGCAACTAAATGCTCTTCAGAACTCAGCAATTTCTTTGCTGTGCAGCAGTAGATTGAAGTCAGCAGCAGAATTCTTGTTAGTTTACAGCTACAGTGATCTCAGTACATTATCAGAATTTAAAATATTTCCATGACCAAGGTATTTACTAACAAAACAGTTTGAATCCAAGACTATAATAAAGGCCTAAAGTATGGTTACCAGATGTCCCCATTTCCCGGGGACAGTACCCGGATTTAAAAATCTGTCCCCGGACAAAATCCGTCCCCAGAATGCCCCCAGATTTCATTTAATGTCCCCGGATTTATATTTTAAGTGTTATAGATTTCTTAGTAGGGAATGAATGTTGTGTGATTGGTTCAACGGCACAAGACACATCATATGGGGACTTCCAGCGAGGCAAAATGGCGGGTGCCACGGCAGCGAGCAGCTCCTGAAGCCAGCCAGAGCCAACTGCGCTACCAGGCTGGCTCCGGGCTGCTGAGACTGCTGCTGCCACTGCCAAGGGGGAACCAGGGACACCCTGCACATCAACTGGGGGAACCGCTGATCCCCCTCCCCCCGCAACCCAAATCAAGCCGGAAGCGAGAGCGCTCAGCCACCCGGCCAACTGCCCACAGAAGAAAAGATATTTTTAATAACATTTTTTTCTCTGGAATCTTTGAAAAAAAACCTGGATTCTTTGAAAAAAATCTGGTAACCTTAGCCTAAAGAGTACTTTATTATGCAAACACAGGAATGAGACTCAAAGTAATTTCAATGTTAATATAAAGGAACTGTGACAACAGTCTTTCTCCTGAAGTTTCCTCTCCTCTGAAATTTACTCCATGTGTAGTCAAGAAGCTTAATGAATGAAGATTTTTCAAAACCTACAGCACTTCTGTTGAGGAAGTATAAGAAGTGGGCAATTTCATACACCCATTTATCTGCTAAGGACAAGTTACCAGATAAAAGAAGCACCTCATAATTACCTGCAGGTAATGTAAATGTTACAAGGTCAGTTAGGAAATAGCAGGCAAAGTCTCCCTTCCGCTGATGAAGAGATGCAGCAATTTCACGTCGGATTTGCTCAGTAAGCTCTGGGCATACCATAGCTGGAATGCACTTAGCTGCATGTTGGGATACCTGTAACAGGATGTTTCATGATGTTATTAATTTAAGAGAGAAATGGACCACACCTGTTAAAACGTAAGAGAATCCCCCACCCAAGGACAGCTGACAGTAACAGTAAGACCTAATGTTCTGCATTACTGGAATGGTGGGCTTGGGAACACAGGCGTCTCACTTCTGACTCCTGTTCAGTCATATAGGTTGCTGGGTGATCACAGGGCAGTAATGCATTTGTAGTCTAACCTACCCCTGGGAGAGGGGATGCCTGCATGGATACCAACCCGAGCTCTTTGCAGGAAAGACAAAACTATCCAAAGAGTGAAGTAGGTTTTGAGGAGATGTATGTCACTTCTTCCATAGCTTAAATGCTACTCTGTGATCAATTGAAATTGAGTTCCTAGAAAGAGCTGCCAGCATTGGATAAGTCTTTGAACTAACTGGCATCATTCCTTCAGAAACAAAACAAGAAGGTAGTTTTAGCAGCCCTGATTTCTGTCCATATCTAGTGAATACATGAATTAATGTGTTCCTAATATAAAACACAGCTAAGATGTACTTTACAGCTGTATCAAAGTCCCTAACATGGTAGGGTATCCAGGACTGCTTCACAAGGAACGTATTTCCTACACTGAGATTACCTCCATATAGAAACCATGTCCAGTGTGAAGAAGTCCATAAATACACAGCTCCACTGTCCCTTTCTGCCTAGCCTGGTAGTGTCTTGGATTTATTCATTTCAATTATTGAAAGTTAACTACAATACTAAAGTCAGAGCAATCCCTTCAATGGACATAACACATTCTTGGAATATTTCTCCAGTGCTCCACCATCTATTTTGGAGAACATTTCAAAATGATTTTAAAAGCTCTACATGGCTTGATACTTGTAAAGCTACACCACATCAACCTGCCTGTGCACTGTGGTCATTTTCAGAGGCCTATCTCTGCGTGTCATTGTCTTCTAAGCTGGGGCAGGTAGAAATTGGGGACCTTTCTTGATTGTAAATATGCCTGTGGAATGATTATCCAGCAACCACTTTGATGTCTTTTTAGAGCCAGTTGAAGACCTTTCCCAAGGACTTCTAACCTCTGAAAATACTGTTTCATTTTTAGTGTTTTCACAGAAGTTTAATTATGTATTTGTTTGATGCTGTAAATTGCTCTGGAATTATACTGTTATAAATTTAATAAGAATTGTTAAAGATACAGAAGAGCAAAGCTTTGCTCAGGAAGAATCAGTGTTTCCTCATCAACCACTGTGAATAATTTCTGTTAGTAAATAACCCAGTAGATGTGGACAATCCAGTACAATAAAACTCTCATCACTCTCAACTATTGGCAATGCAGGCTATGGCTCATGGGAACTAAAGAGTCCAACAACTTCTGGAGAGCCACACATTCCCTAAACCCAAACAGGGCTTTTTGGTGGTGGCTCCCCATCTGTGGAAGGCTTTTCCCAGAGAGGCTCACCTGGCATTACATGTCTTTAGGAACCAGGCAAAAACATTCCTCTTTACCCAGGCCTTTGGCTATTAAATAATCTATGGCCTCTTAAAGCGGGGGGGGGGGGGGAGAGATGCTGTTATTATTGCTGTTTTATTATTACACAGACTATTATCATAGTTTTTATTATGGTGCTCCGTAAAATGTGTTCTTGATGTTGCACACCACTCTGGGATCTTTTAATAAAGGGTAGTATATAAATTGAATAAAACAAACAACAACTGGAAACAGAGGATAAGACTAAGGGACAGCAAAATCTCTATTGGTATTGGTACCATTCATCTTATTCATATACCTCTCTGGTATACCTCACCAAGAAGGATCAAACTGACCACCAAGGCTTCAGCACTACTCTCATTAAATTCCCTGCTGATGCTTCAGTTGTCTCTGGAATCAGATGCAGAGACTCCCATAAGCACACTTACCAGCAAAAGTGAAAACTCACCTCTGTAAGCAGAATTGCTAGCATATCTTGTCTTTGAAAACGTATAGCAAGATGAACAAGTGTGTATCCCACATCAAAAGCGGAAGGGCGATTTAACAAGCGTACTTCATCTGCAGAAAGCTGGCGTGCAATATCTCCTCCTGACGACTTGTATGCTTCAATAGCAGCTAAGTCACCTTCTACAACCCCTAGAGACATGGAAGATGGGTCATAAAGTTAAAATTTCTAATATTACTTAAGATAATGACAGTTCATTCTTAATCAAGTTACCATTTATTGTACCATTTCCTTACCATACATCGAGATCCTAAGTTGGGGAAGGGCCTTGAATTTGGTTGCCATCAGTGGAGCTCTGTGCCTTGCCAGTCACACTAACTGATAATGTATGCTCACAGAAGTACATAGTATTTTTGCCACAGTTCACATGAAGGTAGAAACCTATACAGTACATGTCCATGGAGGAGAGTATGCAGATCAAGTACATGCAACTTTTTGTCTACAGCACGGTAGTTCAAGAGAAGGGATGAATCAATTGCTTATATTCACAGGGCCTCTGTGGAAGGACTTCAAACATTACTAATGAGATTTGGTTCTCACTTATAACCCTATCTAATTACACTATCAAAAAATCACACAAATTGAGCCCTTCTAAAATGACCTTAGGGCTGTTTGGCAAAATTCTCTCATTGGGCACCAGATCAAATGTGCCAGAGTTCCAGTGACAGATCTGCCAAAGACACATTACAGAAGTTAGGCAGGATGCAGCTTGAACATGGTTGGCTTCAATATGAAGCTACAGAACTCGCTGAAGTTTTCCCTGTGGCTGTATACAAACTACTGCATTATTATTTTTATCCTCCAAGAAACTCAGGGCGGCATACAAGTGCTCCTCCCCACTTCATTTTTCTTCACAACAGCCCTGTGAGGTAGGCTAAGTCAAGAATTTCTGATTTGTCTAAGATCACCCTCTGAGCTCCATGGCTGAGTAGGGATTTGAATGTACTTCTCCTCAGTCCTGGTCTTGACACTAACCATTATAAGACATTGGCTCTCAAGGTGAATGAGGAAACTGCTATTATATTGGACACAAGTGGGGAGAGATATGGATAATTTGTTTTAGCAAGTCCAGTCAGTTCATATAAACTTAATAACATCACTTTGAGTAGGACACGCCTTTGTTTCAGGAAGGGTGTTACCTGAGAAATTCACCATAAGCTAGCCAAAAATCACACAAAATAACTACTCTGTCAATGCCATAAGCTGAATACAAAACATTACAAGCCATCTGAAGGAGGGACTATGATGGCTCAACAGGACTAAGATCCCATGCAAGGGCAAATTGCAATGACTAAGAGGTACCATTTAATAACCACTTCAAAAGTGCTAAGTGGATGCCTGCAATAGATAACTTCATTAATGTGGGGTCTTGACTAAATATGGATGTACCAGAATAAAGCAAACAAAGGAAGTGTAATCAGGAGTGCAATGCCACCCCTGAAGAGGGGATGCATTTGGTACACTGCATTTAGGATACTGAATTTTAAACAACTGAGTTCATTTTATATGCTTTCCTCATCTTCCCAAAATGGACTTCCAGGAACAAGGAAGTCCTGGTACAGAAAAAAAGGGGATCTTATTGTTCTGAAGAATGCAGTATCCACCAACACCATCATGGCAAACTGGAAGGGAAATAGGTTTGTGAGAGTCTTGGCAATAGACAGGATGTGCAAATATGTACTGAACTGCCCTTCAGAGAAAATGAGATAATATCTTTGGTAGGATCCCTCTCCTTCTGGATGAAAGAGATGACAGAACGCAAAAGGAAGCTCCTGGAACTTACTATGTTTAGACCAGGCATAGGCAAACTCCGGCCTTCCTGATGTTTGGGACTACAATTCCCATCATCCCTAGCTAAAAGGACCAGTGATCAGGAATGATGGGAATTATAGTCCCAAACATCTGGAGGGCCGGAGTTTGTCTATGCCTGGTTTAGACAATCTTATCTTGACTCAATAAGCCCCAAAGGGGAACAAAACTTGTGCTCATAGTCCCCTTTCTCCTCCACACACTGTGGTAAGCTGGGAAGTGTTTAATTAACCTTCCTTTTCAGTTTGATCCAAACCAGGAAACTATGGTTACTAGGTTTAGAACAAGCTAGGATATTAAACCAACTGCAAATAATGGTTTAAAATCCTGCCTTGTTTCAGTGATGGAAAACATAGGGACTTCAGATTAATTCCAGGGGAATTTCTGGCTTATTACAACACACCAAGAAGGAAGAAACGGGAGATGATCCAAACTAGACCACAGAAAGAAGTGGTGTTCATTCTCTGGGAAATAACTACTTACCCTAGGAAATAACTACCGTATTTTTCGCTCTATAACACGCACCTGACCATAACACGCACGTAGTTTTTAGAGGAGGAAAGCAAGGAAAAAATATTCTAAACAAAACAGTGGATGTATGATTTTTGTGGTTCATGCTGTGGCCACAAACGTGATCTGACGGTGAGTTTGGGGTAGCCCAATGCAAAAATCCTGAGGATCCATGTGGATCCATGCTTTGTAACCACGTTTTTGCGCCATTGCAGCCCCATGAAACAGTGGGTGCGTGATTTTTTTGGTGCAGGCTGTAGCCATGGACATTTTATGTGATCTGATGGTGAACCTGGGGTGACCCAGTGCAAAAATCCTGAGGATCCATGTGGATCCGTGCTTTGTAACCACGTTTTAAGTAGGGAGGGAAGGAAAAGCATTCAAGGGACAAGGAGCATGCGTGGGGTGTGTAGAGAAGGATGTGGCTAATGATGCAGGCAAGCGGTTAAAGGGGAGAAGGAACACGCGTGGGGTGTGTAGAGAAGGATGTGGCTAATGATGCAGGAGAGGGATTTAAGGGAGAAGGAACACACATGGGGTGTGTAGAGAAGGATGTGGCTAATGATGCAGGCGAGCGGTTAAAGGGGAGAAGGAACACGCGTGGGGTGGGTGGAGAAGGATGTGGCTAATGATGCAGGAGAGGGATTTAAGGGGAGAAGGAACACGCATGGGGTGTGTAGAGAAGGATGTGGCTAATGATGCAGGAGAGGGATTTAAGGGGAGAAGGAACACGCGTGGGGTGTTAGAGAAGGATGTGGCTAATGATGCAGGAGAGGGATTTAAGGGGAGAAGGAACACGCGTGGGGTGTGTAGAGAAGGATGTGGCTAATGATGCAGGAGAGGGATTTAAGGGGAGAAGGAACACGCGTGGGGTGTGTAGAGAAGGATGTGGCTAATGATGCAGGAGAGGGATTTAAGGGGAGAAGGAACACGCGTGGGGTGTTAGAGAAGGATGTGGCTAATGATGCAGGAGAGGGATTTAAGGGGAGAAGGAACACGCGTGGGGTGTGTGGAAAAGGAGCTTTTCGGCGAGCTGAGAGGGGAGGGGGAAGGGAAAAGCACTGTTGCTTTAAAGGAGCCAACCAGACAGCAGCCACTTACAGCAGTGTAAGCAGCTCCTTTCCTCTCCCACTTTGCTCCTTCTCTCCCTCTTTGCTGCTTTACGCAGCTAATGGCGAATCCCCTGCAACCCAAGTCCTGCTCAGCGGATCAGCTGAGATGCTGGGAGAATCGTAATTTCCCTCTCTCCCTCATCCCGTGCCCTCCTGTCCCCAGCAGCCTTTTTAAAAACTTTTTTACTGGTTTTCACTGCGCTCGTGGCTCAGAGCCCTCCTGTGCCCTGCCGTCCCTCTGCAGCCTCATTGCTCCGTTTAGAGAGCGTTGCTAGCTGAGGCTGCAGCAGCTGTTGCTGGCTACGCGGCGCTTTTCCGGCTCCCTATGGCTCCCGTCTGTCCCTCCTCGCGTGTAAGCGGCTGCTGCCCGCTTTGCTGCCATGGCTCTCCTTCCCTCCCTCCCTCCTCGGCTCCTCCCCCTCCTCCTGGCTGCAAAGCAAGCAAAGCTAGAGCAGTGCAAAGCCCTGCAAGCAGCTCCCGCTTTGCTTGACTGACGGCAGCCATGGATCCAGTCGAGTGCATTCGCTCCTTAACACGCACAGGCATTTTCCCTTACTTTCTAGGAGCAAAAAAGTGCGTGTTTTGGAGCGAAAATTACGGTATATACTCAATCTTTTTGAATCTTAGGAAGATTAACTAGGGAAATGAAACAATACTCTTTACAGTAAGAGAAGTGGCAGCATACAACGTATTTTCCATATTGAAGCCGTCTAAGCTATTCCAAGCATGTTTAGCTTTATAATCTCTGTCCCAGAGAAATTGCTTCTGAAAACTATAAAATAGGAACTAGATTTTTTTTTTAATCCCCAACCTCTTTGGTTTCCAGCCAGCAAGGAAAAGCTATACAGTAAAAGCACTGTGTAAAATTCAATCCTACACTTTTATGTTAACATTTCATAGCCTAAAGTAAAAGTGATCAAACTTGCAGCATTCAGATTTTTACCCTGCATTGTATAAAACAGTATCTTTCTGCAGGTATTTATCAAGCTATATCCTTTACTTAGCGCACAGAACTCTGCTCAAGAGAAATCAACAAATTCATGTGATAATAATACTGAGGCAAGTGCCCCTAACCCTAGAATGGGGAATCTCTGGCCCATGGGCCAAATGTAACCTACTAGGCCTCCCCATTTCCCCCTCAAGGCTATTTCCCCAAAACCACGCACACCTGTCATCAGATGTGATGTCAGATGTGAAGCAGATGTAAATGTAGCTGCAAAAAGCATGATTGAAATGTATTTCATGTTCTAAGCCTACATAATGATACTCTACTTTTGTAGAATGGGCACTCCATTTCATACCAAGAAAGCCACAATAGAGTGCTATCAGTAGGTTGCAATTGTCACAAATTATATTCAAAGTTTTTCTTTTTAATTTGTTTGCATGTCAGTTCTTAGAAACATTGATTTTTTGTGGCATTCTGTACCATAGCCTCCTTTACTCACCAGGCCAAAAGGGAGAATGACTCTCTGGGCACAAAACATTGGATCCAAGGTACAAAGAAATGCCAGCACAACTGGTTATTCCTCCCTCCCAGCTTAGTAAGTACCGGAGACTTTGTAGGGGCTATTAGGACCCCCCTTCTTACCCTTAAGTGCCCCTTGCTCCTCCCCATGGGCCTGTCTATCATGGGGGCCAGGACACACAGGTGCATAAGGGCTGGACTGTGCCTAAAAACCAAAAAGGAATCTGAATTTAGT